CCTATAGAGGAAAAGGAAGTGCAAGTCAAGGCATGGCACAGTGGGAGGATGTAAAGAATTTGTGCTGTTCTGTTATTGGCTCGAAGTCGTGTTGCATAGTATCTCATTGCATGAAAATGGATTGTTTCTTTGGCGACAAGAGCTCTTTCCTCTCCAGAATTTCAGGCGAATGGAAAAGTGCACATCCATATGGGGACTGGACATGGAGTATAGATAGATAGATAGAATAATTAGAGGAGGTTGTGGAGCAGGACATGTCTGGGTTGTAAGACACACCCTGATTCTGTGCGGAAGATAGCAGGATCGGACACAAACCGTGCATCTTTAGGGCTGTTTCGTGTGACGATTGTGAAGAGAGTGGAAGGTTCCAGGGAGGCGGTAATGTATTTATGCCAACAGGGCGGTGCTCGACAAGGCATTAATCAATGCCGTTGAATACGTATATGACATATACGTATTCAACGGCATTCATACTTGTACTCTACCACACATACTGTAGTATATGTGGTAGAGTACAAGTATGCATTAGGCGGAGAGAGCAGCAGTGGGGACTCCCCACTGGGGAGCGTAAGAGCAGGGGGGGGATTTTGATTGCTGTGTATTAGGATGAATGGTTTTGGGTGCTCGTTTCTTCCACTGCCGCAGCGGCGTTGAATCCTCTCCTCTCTCCCCACATGGGTGTCGGTAATAGTTGTGTGAATGGGGCATGAATGTACAGTAGTGTGTGATGGCTGACTACTCTTGCGGCAGACCGAGTCAGGCTCTTCAGGTCGGTTAGGTTTTTCTTTTTCTTTTTTTCTTTTTCTTTTTCTTTTTCTATAGTTTGAAACGGTTACCCAAGGGTAGAACCTCCTAGGGATTCTTGATGCAAGTATAAGGGGTGTTGCATTCCAACAAGGATGCAGGTGGCAATTTTTTTTAGGGTTGCTTGTCATGCAGTGCGCGACATGCATTAGTGATGTTGTAAAGACGGGGCGTTTCTGAGTTATGGTTGAACCAAAAAAAAACAAAAAAGAGTTACGGGGCACGGCATGGCGTGTTTTGATGGTGAAGAAGAGGTTGATCAATGTGATCAATGGAATGTGTCGGTTGAGCTACTGTAAGGTAGGCTTGGGTACAGTGCGGTGCAAGGGAATGAATTGGGGATGAATTGGGGATGAAATGGGGTGGGATGATTTTGTTGACATGGAAATTGATATGAAGGATGTGGAAGGTTATGGAAGGTGGGGTTTTGAGGGATATTTTTTGTTGTGTTGCACCACGAAGACGGTGTCTTGGCCAATGAATCGGGTATTGCCGTTACAAAAATAAAGTTATAAAAATTGGAAGAATACTGTACCCTTGGGTTCTAGTACAGCACCCTACTGCACAGCATACTGCCTTGCGCCGGTCCTCCTTGCGATGGAGCGGCGCCAGGCAGCATTGATGATGACGGTGGCAGCTCGGTGGATTTAGTTGGCTGCAACGTCTCGGTGGGCAAACGGTGGACAAGTGCCTGCGCCACACCATGGTGTTGCAACGCGCGCTTGTCGCATCCAAACAAGCGAGCGCTCCTTGGAGTGCTTGGACCAAGCAACCGCTTGCACGCCCCGAGATACGCTCTCCGGGAGATACCGTACCCTCTGCGAAGCGTATCTCAGCACGTCCAAGCGGTGGGAAGCGTGGTCCGACACATATCTACCGCACGGCGTGTCCACAGCTGTACTGTAGCTGCCCGGGAGTGCGCATTCCTGCACCTACTGTAAAGTTGTCCCCATCCCTACCGCCAGCTACACTGCAGCGCGTGGAGTGCGCCTTCCAGTTGCCACTGTATCCCAAAGGGAACCGACCGCACTGTAGCCAGCGCGTGCC